GTTTCTATTTTCCTGAAAACACAAAACCCATTTCACTTCTCTTCAACCAAAACCTTTTCTTTAATTGAAGGGAACTAGTAAAAAGGGAAAAGAATGTCCCTTTGTTCCTCCTTTAATGCATCCACCCTTTATTCTGCACAGCCCCAAAGCTACAAAACTCGGTTCTCCTGTCAATTCATCAGACAATTTCAGGTAAATTCAGTATCTTACGCTTTAGCATCTTCATCTCAGAACTTATCAAAGCCCTTGGAGTTTAGGAGAGAGAGATTCAAACCCATTACAGCTTCAGCAACAAACAGTGTTGAAACCACTAAAGCATCATCCTTTAGAAGCAAAAACCCAAAAGATATTAATATTCTGGTGGTGGGTTCAACTGGGTATATTGGAAAATTTGTAGTTAAGGAGCTGGTTGATAGGGGGTTCAATGTTATAGCCATTGCAAGGGAGAGCAGTGGAATCAGGGGTAGGAATAGTAAAGAAGATACCTTGAATGAATTGCAGGGAGCCAATGTGTTTTTCTCAGATGTTACCAATTTGGGTACTTTGGAGAAATCTTTGCAGGAATTAGATTTATCATTTGATGTTGTTGTGTCTTGTCTTGCTAGCCGGACTGGTGGTGTTAAGGATTCCTGGAAAATTGACTATGAGGCAACAAAAAATAGTCTTATTGCTGGTAAGAAATTAGGAGCATCACATTTTGTGTTACTTTCTGCCATATGTGTGCAAAAGCCCCTTCTTGAATTTCAGCGAGCAAAGCTGAAATTTGAGGCTGAATTGATGAAAGAAGCTGAATTAGATAATGGATTCACCTATAGCATTTTGAGGCCAACTGCATTCTTTAAGAGCTTGGGGGGAGGGGGGGGGGGGGTTAAAATTGAGTTGGTGAAAGAGGGGAAGCCTTACGTGATATTTGGTTATGGGAAGTTATGTGCTTGTAAGCCAATTAGCGAGCGGGATCTGGCTTCATTTATTGCGGATTGTGTGTTGAGTAAATAAGATTAACCAGGTATTGCCAATAGGCGGCCCAGAGAAGGCATTGACACCACTGGAGCAGGGGGGAGATTTTGTTTAAGCTTCTAGGGAAGGAGCCGAAGTTCTTGAAAGTGCCAATTGGGATAATGGATTTTGCCATTGGGATTCTTGATTTCCTTGTCAAGATATTCCCTGCAATGGAAGATGCAGCTGAGTTTGGAAAAATTGGAAGGTACTATGCAGCTGAGAGTATGTTGGTT